GAAGGGGGGCTAGGGAAGGGTAAGTGGAAGGAGGTGAGGGAGGAATGGGGTACGAGCCCCCGATGGGGAGGACTGGGCTGGCTCTGCGGGCTTCTGGGGGTGGAAGCTCTCCTGCAGCCCCCCAATTGCACCCTCTCCCCAGATGGCAGCCTGCGGCAAGTGCAGCCAGTCTGATGGCCGAGTGCTGTGATGTGCCCAGTGTGGGCACTCAGGGCACTCCAAGCCAGGACTGCTTTGCAAGCGGGGCACCCCTGAGAACTGTCTGTCCAGGGTGGGGGTTGGGTCTCTTTAAGCACAGCCCTCGGCTAGCCTGAGACAGCATCTCCACGCTCGAAGTCCTCATCTGATGCCCTGCCGGCACTGCTTCCGGCCATCCTTAACCCCGGTTCAGGTTCCACTAAATGTGGACGCGCTAGTTCAAATTAGCAAAACGCTAATTCGAACTAGTTTTTAGTTCTAGATGCGTTAGTTCTAATTAGCTTAGTTCGAATTAACTAATTCGAACTAAGTTAGTTTGAATTAGTGCTGTAGTGTAGACATACCCTAAGACACTTTATGGTTACTCCTATCAGCCTGTCACAGAACTGGCTCTTTAAGTTTTTCCGCAAAAGCAGCTGCTTTTGTGGAAAAACTTGCCAGCTGTCTACACTGGCCGCTTGAATTTCCGCAAGAACACTGACGATCTCATGTAAGAAATCAGTGCTTCTTGCAGAAATACTATGCTGCTCCCGTTCAGTCAAAAGTCATTTTGCGCAAAAGCTTTTGCGCAAAATGGCCAGTGTAGACAGCTCAGATTTGTTTTGCGCAAAAGCGCATCTAGATTGCCCACGGACACTTTTGCGCAAAAGTGCTTTTGCGGAAAAGCGTCCGTGCCAATCTAGACGCTCTTTTCCGCAAATGCTTTTAATGGAAAACTTTTCCGTTAACAGCATTTGCGGAAAATCATGTCAATCTAGACGTAGCCTGAGGGTGTCAGCTATGCAGCCTACCTCTACTGAAGTCCACCTGAGTATAGTGAATTGTATAAGTAACTGGACAGAAGTTAATTAAGCAAGGAGCATCTGGGCCCAATACAATCCTTAAGAGAGCTGAGCTATAAAAAGCTCCTGAGAAACGAATCTCCAATGGACAGGTCTTCCATGGGTGCAGGAACTGGGCAAAGGCTCTCCATGCAGCAAGGCCTGAGGAAGAGACCCTGAACAAGCAGGAGAAAGACTGCAGATATTTCCAGGCAGCAGAAAAGCCTAAGGCATTATAGCAGAAGGAGCTGCTGAGAGAAGCAAGAAACTTTTGTTTTGGGACTTAAGTGTTAGCTGGGCACGGAGGTAATAACCTTTAAACTCTTCTTTCTGAAGGCTTTACTAAAATGACATATACTGTGGAGTATTTGGGTTCTCCATGGCTGGTGGAGTTTGATTGACCTCATTAATGGAAACAAAGTCTGTCTACAGGAAAGTTACTCCTTTATCCCTCTGGAGGAAATTCATAAAACACTAGGGCTGTGTCTAGACAGGCAAGTTTTTCCGCAAAATCAAAAAACTTGCCAGCTGTCTACACTGGCCACTTGAATTTCCGCAAAAGCACTGACGATCTCATGTAAGATCGCCAGTGCTTTTCCAGAAATACTATGCTGCTCCTGTTCGGGCAAAAGTCTTTTTCTGAAAAACTTTTGCGCAAAAGGGCCAGTGTAGACAGCAGAGATTTGTTTTCCGCAAAAATCCCCGATTGTGAAAATGGTGATCGGGGCTTTTTTGCGAAAAACCACGTGTAGATTGGCCACGGATGCTTTTCCACAAAAAGTGCTTTTGCGGAAAAGCATCCTGCCAATCTAGACGTGCTTTTCAGAAACTGCTTTTAACGGAAAACTTTTCTGTTAAAAGCATTTTTGAAAAATCATGCCAGTGAAGAAGTAGCCTAGAACTGGAACTGGAACAGTCATACTGTTGACTCATATTTAGCTTGTGGTCCACTATGACCCCTAGGTCCAATTCTGAAAGACTCCTTCCTAGACGGTCACCTCCCATTCTGTATGTGTGAAACTGATGTTCCTTCTTACACAGAATACTTTGCATTTGTGCTTATTAAACTTCATCCTATTTATCTCAGACTATTTGTCCAGTTTGTCCAGATCATTTTGAATTACAGTATGATCTTATCCTCTAAAGCAGCTGCAACCCCTCCCAGCTTCATATCATCTGCAAACTTTGTAAGCATACTCTCTATGTCAATATCTAAATTGTTGATGAAGATATTGAACAGAATTGGTCCCAAAACAGACCCCAGCAGAACCCATTTGTTATGCCCTTCCAGCATGATTGTGAACCATTAATACCTACTCTCTGCGAATGGTTATCCAGCCAGTTTTGCATCCACCTTATAGTAGCCCCATCTAAGTTGTATTTGCCTAGTTTATTGATAAGGATATCATGCAAGACCGTATCAACTGCCTTACTACAGTGTAGGTATACTATGTCCACCACTTCTCCCTTATCCACAGGACTCGTTATCAGATTGGTTTGACATGATTTGTTCTTTACAAATCTATTCTGGCTGTTACCTATCACCTTATTATCTTCCAGGTGTATACAGATTAATTCCTTAATTACTTCCTCCACTATCTTTCCTGGCACAGAAGTTAAACTGACTAGCCTGTAGTTTCCTGAGCTGTTCTTATTTCCTTTTTTATAGATGGGAACTATATTTGTCCTTTTCTAGTCTTCTGGAATCGCTCCTGTCTTCCATGATTTTTTGAAGATGATGGCTAAAGGCTCAGATATCTCCTCTATCAGCTCCTTGAGTATTCTAGAATGCATTTCATCAGACCTGGTGACTTGCAGACATCTAACTTGCAGACATCATCTGATGGGATGCCGTGTGCCCCTTACAGCTGCCATCAGGTGCCCCCCATCGGTTGGCGTCCCGGGCAGCTGCCCAGCTTGCCCATGCCTCAGTCTGGCCCTGCTTCCCACTAGCATTGACTGAGTTACGCATTCCTTCATCAGATTTCTTGGTGAAGACCGAAACAAAGAAGTCATTAAGCACCTCTACCATTTCCAAGTTTCCTGTTATTGTTTCTCCCTCCTCACTGAGTAAAGTGCCTACCCTGTCCTTGGTCTTCCTCTTGCTTTTAATATATTTATAGAATTTCTTCTTGTTTCCCTTTATGTCTGTAGCTAGTTTGAGCTTGCTTTGTGCCTTTGCCTCTCTAATCTTGCCCCTGCATACTTGTATTGTTTGCTTATATTCATCCTTTGTAATTTGTCTTAGTTTCCACTTTTTATATGACTCCTTTTTTATTTTTAGATCATGCAAGATCTCCTGGTTAAACCAACGCAGTCATTTGCCATACTTTCTGTCTTTCCTACACCATGGAATAACTTGCTTTTGGGCCCTTAATAATGTCCCTTTGAAAAACTGCCAACTCTCTTCAGTTCCCCCCCGCCCTTAGTCTTGCTTCCCATGGGACCTTACCTACCAACTCTCTGAGCTTACAAAAATCTGCCTTCCTGAAATCCATTGTCTCTATTCTATTGTTCCTCCTTCCACCATTCCTAAGAATCATGAACTCTATGATTCCATCATCACTTTCACCCAAGCTGCCTCCGCTTTCAAATTCTCAACCAGTTTCTCCCTATTTGTTTAAATCAAATCTAGAACAGCTTCTCCCCAGTAGCTTTTTCAATCTTCTAAAATAAAAAGTGGTCTTTAATGCAGTCCAAGAACTTACTGGATAGTCTGTGCCCCTACGTACTTCCCATAGCTCTTGCATTTGCATATAGGCATCTAAGACACTAATTTGATCTTGCCTCCCACTTCTGCTTTGTCGCTCCTTTTTCTCTGATATTATAGCCCACACTCCCTCCCATTTCTGACCCATCTCCCAGATCTCCATGTTCTTCACTTATATGTGGGCTAGAATCATAGAATCATAGAACTGGAAGAGACTGCAGGAGGTGATCAAGTCCAGCCCCCGGCCCAAGGCAGGACCAATCCCAACAAAGTAAACCCAGCCAGGGCTTTGTCAAATTGAGACATAAACAACTCTAGGGATGGAGATTCCACCACCTCCTGTGGTAACTGATTCCAGTGCTTCACCACCCTCCTAGTGAAATACTTTTTCCTAATATACAACCTAGACCTTTCCCACTGTAATTTGAGACCATTGCTCCTTGTTCTGCCATCCGTCACTACTGTGAAAAGCCTCTCTCCCATTCAGGAAGTTGACGGCTGCTATCAAATGCCCCCTCGCTCTTCTCTTCTGCAGACTAAACAAACCCAAATCCCTCAGTCTCTCCTCATAGGTCATGCACTCCAGCCCCCTAATCATTTTGGTTGCCCTCCACTGGACCCTCTCCAATGCGTCCAATCCTCTCTATAGTGGGGGGCCCAGAACTGGACACAATAGTCCAGATGTGGCCTCACCAGAGCTGAATAAAGGAGAATAATCACTTTTCTAGATCTGTTGGCAATACTCCTACTAATGCACCCTAATATGCCATTAGCCTTCTTAGCTACAAGGGCACACTGTTGATTATATTCAGCTTCTCATCCACTGTAATCCCCAGGTCCTTTTCTACTGAACTGCTATTTAGCCAATTGGTCCCCAGCTTATAACAATGCTTTGTATTTTTCCATCCCGAGTGCAGGACTCTGCACTTGTCCTTGTTGAACCTCATCAGATTTCTTTTGACCCAAGCATCTAATCTGTCTAGGTCACTCTGGACCCTATCCCTGCCCTCAAATGTATCTACTTCTCCCCCTAGCTTAGTGTCATCTGCAAACTTGCTGAGGGTGCTGTCCATCCCCTCATCCAGGTCATTAATAAAGATATTGAACAAAACTGGTCCAAGAAAAGATCCTTGGGGCACTGCTAAAAATCGACTGCCAATCTGACATCGAACCATTGATCACTATCCGTTGGGCTCGACAGTCTAGCCTGCTTTCTATCCATCTTACAATCCATTTACCCAATCCATACTCCCTTAACTTGCTGGTAAGAATACTGTGGGAGACCAGGGCAGCCCGTGATTATAGGTGAACTCGGCCACCTCCTAGGGTGCCGCCTTCAATGGCGTGCCCGAGGGGCCCGATGATGACCTCAGTCCATTGTCAACTCTGCAGGCACCAATCGCGCATTCTGACTGGGGCGCCAGCTGCCACAGCCCACCTCAGACCACTCCTGTGGGAGACAGTATCAAAAGCATTGCTAAAGTCAAGGTATATCGCATCCACTGACTTTCCCATATCGACAGAGCCAGTTACCTCATCATAGAAGCTAATCATATTTGTCAGGCACGACTTGCCCTTCATGAATCCATGCTGACTATTCCTGATCACCTTCCCCTCTTCCAAGTGCTTCAAAATGGATTCCATGAGGATTCCCCTCCATGATTTTTCCAGGGACTGAGGTAAGGTTGACTGGTCTGTAGTTCCCTGGATTATCCTTCTTCCCATTTTTAAAGATGGGCACTACAGTTGCCTTTTTCCAATCATCTGGCATCTCTCCCGATCTCCACAAGTTTTCAAGATAATGCTCCGCAATGACATTTCCCAACTCCCTCAGTACCTTCGGATGCATTAAATCTGGGCCCATGGATTTGTGTATGTTTAGCTTTTCTAAATAGTTCCTAACTTGTTCTTTCCCCACCAAGGGCTTTCTACCTCCTTCCCATACAGCATTGCCTAGTGCAGGCATGTCCAAAGTCCGGCCCGCGGGCCAAATGCGGCCCGCGGTCGGATTTAATACGGCCCCCCGCTTCTCCCGGCTCCCCGGTGTTTTTTTAACTGGCGCGCTCAGCGCGCCGCTTCAGGCCGCCGCCGCCGCGGTCCCAAACCCTGCCCCTGCACTCCGCTTTGGGGCTGAGAGTGCAGGGACAGCCCCCGCTTCCTCCCCCTCTCCTGGCTCCCCGGCGCTCCTCTGACTGGCGCCGCTTCCGGCCGCGCCGCCGCCGTCCATGGCGGCCGCTGCGGTCCTAAAGTCCTCCATGTAGGGCACGTCCGCAGCCCCGCTCCCCCGCTTGGCTACGGGTTCGCCCTGCCCCCGGGCCGCCGTGAG